TTGCCAAATCTCAGACAGAGCAGAAGACAGTGAGGCTTGGGACTGAACTCAGAGAAATCAATAACCAGTGTGAAGACCCAGGGAGGAGAGGATGCCCCGTGATTCTCCCTGCCTCTCAGTCTTTCACACGCAGGTACATTCTCTTCCTAGTCATTTTATAAATTAACAATACATTAGAAAGATCAGTGATCATAACCAGTGGGATTTATCCTTGTGATGCAAGGATGGTTCAACACACAAAAATCAATCAGTGGAATACATCATATCAACAGAATGAAGGACAAAAAACATATGATCATTTCAGTTGATGCTGAAAATACATTTGATAAAATTTAACATCCCTTTGTGATAAAAACCCTAAAAAAACTAGTGATAGAAGCAACATACCTCAATATAATGAAAGCCATCTATGACAGACCCACAGCTAGAATCACAACAAATGGGGAAAAACTGAAAGTCCTTCCATTAAAATCTGGTGAGTCAACGAAACTGGGAAATTATGCTAAAAGGCTGCTATATTTTTATTGAAGGACAGCAATGACTTTGTTAGTAATTTTGATTTTATTTTATGTTTGCCATAAGTATTAAGTGTAGCTTTTTACAGAAAAATATTCTTGTTTCTAAAAAACAGAGTTGGCATTATCGATATGATTAAAGTGAGTACCTTAGTTTGCCTCCTGGGATAACATAGGGCACAGGTTGTTGATTTTCTTTATTTTTATTTTTTAGTTTCCCACCTATCTCCCTGATCTTTCTTCTTGTTCTCTTTTGGAGATTTATCTTTCTCTGTCCATCCCTAAAATGCTGGTAATTCTTAAGATACTGTTCTTGACTTTCTCTTTTTTTTTCTCACTAAAACTGCTTTGTTCTCTCTTATCCATTATCATGACTTAACTATCTGTTAAATCTGTACTTTGACCCGGTTATCTCTAATAAACACCAAAACTATTTAGTTAATTCTTTATTGGCCCAAGCCACCTAAATATCCAACATGTTCAAAATTACATTCTTTTTTTAAAACCTTTGCTTTTAAATAATATCTTCCTCAGTTATTCCTCATATAATTGAATGAAAACACTTTATATACAGCCACACAAACCAGAAACTTGGGGTGCACCCCAGCTCTGCTTGACTTCCTCACTACACACCAAGTCACAGAATGCTGATCATTATATTTCCTTCACATGTTCCACACCCATTCCCTCCAGCCTGTCCCCATGGCTACCATCTCAATTCAGGTACTCACTGTCACTGGAAAATGCAGACTCCACAGATAGCTTGGGCTCACAGTCTCCAATCTCATTCTTTGAAACAATCCTTCACATTAACCAAACATTCATCTTTGTAGTAACATATCTTAGTCAAATCGTTCTACTCTTTATTTCCGATGAAGTCCAACAGAAGCTCATCAATGAACCTCTTTCCCAGTATCATTATTATTGTTATTATTGTCGTGCCCTCCTTATACCTTAAGGTGCAGCCTGGTGTGTCTTTTTCTCTTGTGTTTACTTCTTCATTATTTTTACACAGTTTTACAATTTTCACTGAAAATTTCTCTTAACTCCTCCATGCAAAGTCAAAGCCTTCCCAAATTGGACCCAATTCCTTCAGTACCAATGAGAAAATAACTTATAATCGTTGAAATCTCCAGACTCAGATGTCACTACAGTCATAATTGAATAGGTAAGGTCCAGCCTGGCATGTCTTCCTGGACAGTGTCTAAACTTTCCATCCACAGCAAAGCCTTTCTCTACCCACTTTCAGAAGAATCTACCCCACCCTTCATTGGTGCCTGCAGTATACTGTGCACACGTGTATCCCAGGTCCTACACTGCTTATTTGCATGGCTCACTTGTAGGCAGACTGTAAACTCTTGGAAGACAGAGACAGTATCTTACTAGTGTTTGCTTTTCCAGTGTCTAGGATGATCCCACACAGAGCAGATGCTCAATAAATGTAAATTGAATTAGCAAATTAATAAATGAATGAGATGATTAAATGTTCAATATCTACATGTGGATAATTGTGGATATAAAATATCCATATGTAGATAATATATGAATAATTGAAAAGTATCTTGGCAATATTTTATTTAGTCCTCCAGTTTTAGGTAGTTAGTAAACTTATTTTATTTTTGTTAAGTGCTTCAGCTGTTTTTTTCTAAACACTATACATAGCTACTAAACTTTTCTTGTCATTCTTCCAGAGATTTCAGGATAAATATTCCTTGAGTTTCTTTATTCTATCCATAGAAATACACCTGCTTTGAAGCCCTTATAGTCTGTGAGCCAAAATTATAGGCACATTTCCCAGTAACCCCTGTTAGCTCACACGTTAACAACCTACATCTCTCTGGAGTAAAGCACCCAGTGTGTTCCGACAAATGAGATTTGGATGTTTCTCTCTAAAAGGTTGCCCAACCAGCGCGTGCGCGCGTGC